AAATTATAAATAAGTTCTAAAACATAAATTTCATTCATCTCTGCATAGTGATTTTTGAGTTTGATTCAAAGGGAACTTATTGCAGAAGAATCCCTTTCCCTCATTTTATAACTTTAAAAACTTGGATTAACCGCTCAAAGTCCACATTCTTTGACTTATAGTATAACCATGTAGCCAATTTTGGTCCACTAAAATCTACTACAGAAGTTAATGTGGGTCACCATTTTGGTCAGAAGCATACATTCCTGTGAACAACTAGTTGTCTTACAGAAATGTTAGGCTTCACGTTTGTTACCCCAGTACTGTTAGAAACATTTGTACTAGGTTATAGGATCTTTCTGTGACGGGTAACAAATTTGGGGAAGACAGCACAATCTTCTTGAATGTAGCTCTTGGGAATGCATTATTACATCCATTTCTGTAAAATAATAATATGTTGCATGCAGTTATATTTTCTATTTAGTCTGTATATTTTGTTCTTCATAGTCTGTTTTTTCTAGCATGCTTGATTTAGGAGAGAATAAAGGGCTATATAATAATAAATCCAGATTTCAGGATAAGAATATTGCCTGGTTAAAATTCTACATTGCTTGAAGACACCCATGTTTAAGATTTTTCATCACTAACATATCCATTGAAAGTATCAACTGGCCAGACAAGGTGGCTCACACCTGTAATCCCACACTTTGGGAGGCCAAGGCGGGTGGATCACCTGAGGTTTGGAGTTTGAGACCAGCCTGACCAAACATGGGGAAACCCCATCTGTACTAAAAATACAAAAATTAGTCGGGCTTGATGGTGCATGCCTGTAGTTGCAGCTACTTGGGAGGCTGAGAGAGGAGAATCGCTTGAACCTGGGAGGCAGAGGTTGCAGTGAGCCAAGATTGTGCCATTGCACTCCAGCCTGGGTAACACAGTGAGACGCTGTCTCAAAAAAAAAAAAAAAGTATCAACCAACAAATGTTACCAAGAAAACATGACTTCATGAGAGAGAATGTCACTATTAATTTATCATACCATAATAGATATCCAAAAAGGGCTTTGTGCTTTTCACATAAAATTGGGATAGTATATATTTAATCTAATTTAAATTTTAAAGAGATACTGGTATTTTGAAAATGCAGCCTGTATATATTCTTAATATCCTTTTAAGAATACAGAGGTGAAGATTGTTTTCTCCAATTTTCTGTGCCATTTTAAATTTAACTTTGACATCCAGCTATAGACAGAAATAATAAGCCACCCTGGGTGTAAACTTGATTTTCTTTATTGAGATGTATCATGTATTGAATGAGTGAACTAGAAAATTAGAAGATGGTCAAAAAAAGTCCAAGTTACCCATTTTTTTAAATGTATAGGGAAAGTATCAAATTGTCTTCTTAATGTGATAAACTGTGCTTTATCATTCTGAAAACTCAGGATACAGCTTATTCATAGCATTGTGGGTCTCTCCAGTAAGAAACATGCTAACAGTTTTGTGCACTCTTTGTGTGGGTAATGCAAATTAGTTAAAACAAATAGTATGTTTTGGAGACAGTTAAAAGTAGCTTTAGAGGAAGGATGAGAAACCTGAGTGTGTTTTTAATTTAAAGATAAAAACGTGTGTTTTACATATTTTTTTGGTGTTCATAGCTTTTTCTCATACAAGTGCCAGACACTGGTGCTTTTGATTTTTATTTATATACATTTTTTTGCTTATTTTTACTTTGAGTGGAATGTTCATTAATGTAAATTGTATTTATTTTTATACTTTTATTTTTACTAGTTTTGCTTCTAGGCAAAAAGCAAAATAAACTTTTCATCTTAAAGAAAATCTAGTTTGTTTTTATTTACCAGGGGAAGGACTATTAAGAAATAGATAGGCCGGGCATGGTGGCTCATGCCTGTAATTCCAGCACTTTGGGAGGCCAAGGCGGGTGGATCACGAGATCAGGAGTTTGAGACTAGCCTGGCCAATGTGGCGAAATCCCTTATCTACTAAAAATACAAAAATTAGCTGGGCGTGGTGGTGCCTGCCTGTAGTTCCACCTACTTGAGAGGCTGAGACAGGAGAACTGCTTGAACCTGGAAGGCAGAGGTTGCAGTGAGCCGAGATTGTGCCACCTCACTCCAGAGCAAGACTCTGTCTCTAAAAAAAGAAAAAAAAAGTATCAACCAACAAATGTTACCAAGAAAACATGACTTCATGAGGGAGAATGTCACTATTAATTTATCATACCATTTCCAAAAAGGGCTTTGTGCTTTTCACATAAAATTGGGATAGTATATATTTAATCTAATTTAAATTTTAAAGAGATACTGGTATTTTGAAAATGCAGCCTGTATACTTAATATCCTTTTAAGAATACGGAGGTGAAGATTGTTTTCTCCAATTTTCTGTGCCATTTTAAATTTAACTTTGACATCCAGCTATAGACAGAAATAATAAGCCACCCTGGGCGTAAACTTGATTTTCTTTATTGAGATGTATCATGTATTGAATGAGTGAACCAGAAAATTAGAAGATGGTCAAGAAAAGTCCAAGTTGTCAATTTTTTTAAATTTATAGGGAAAGTATCAAATTTTCTTCTTTATATGATAAACTGTGCTTTATCATTCTGAAAACTCAGGATACAGCTTATTCATAGCATTGTGGGTCTCTCCAGTAAGAAACATGCTAACAGTTTTTGTGTGTGTAATGCAAATTAGTTAAAACAAATAGTATGTTTTGAAGATAGTTAAAACTAGCTTTAGAGGATGAGAAACTTGTGTGTGTTTTTTTAATTTAAAGATAAAAGCATATGTTTTACACATTTTTTTGGTGTTCATAGCTTTTCCTCATACAAGTGCCAGACACTATTTTGTGCTTTTGATGGATTTTTATTTATATACTTTTTTTTTGCTTATTTTTGAGTGGAATGTTCATTAATGTAAATTGTATTTATTTTTATACTTTTATTTTCACTAGTTTTGTTTCTAAGCAAAAAGCAAAATAAACTTTCATCTTAAAGAAAATCTAGTTTGATTGTTTTTATTTACCAGGGGAAGGACTATTAAACAGATAGGCCAGGCATGGCGGCTCACGTCTGTAATTCCAGCACTTTGGGAGGCCAAGGCGGGTGGATCACGAGATCAGGAGTTTGAGACCAGCCTGGCTAACATGGTGGAACCCCGTCTCTACTAAAAACACAAAATTAGCTGGGTGTAGTGGTACATGCTTGTAGTTCCAGCTACTTGGGAGGCTGAAGCAAGAGAATCGCCTGAGCCTGGGAGGCAGAGGCTACAGTGAGCCCAGATTGTGCCACTGCACTCCAGCCTGGGTGACAGAGCGAGACTCCATCTCAAAACAAAAAAGAAATAGATATTAGCCAGGCATGGTGGTTCACATCTGTAGTCCTAGGTACTCTGGAGGCTAAGGCAAGAGGATCACTTGAGCCCAGGAGTTACAGGCCGCAGTGAGCTATAATCGCACCACTGCACTCCAGTGTGAGTGAGACTTTGTCTCCAAAAAAAAAAGAAAAAAGAAAAAAGAAATAGATATTGGAAAGTATTTGGCCAAAACAAATATTGTATATAATCGTTCTTTAAAATTACAAGTTCCATGAAAGATATATCTCATTATTTAATATATCCCCTGGGCCAGGTGCAGTGGCTCACGCCTGCAATCCCAACACTTTAGGAGGCCAAGGCGGAAGGATCACCTGAAGTCGGGAGTTTGAGACCAGCCTGGCCAACATGGTGAAACCCCCATCTCTACTAAAAGTTGGACTTTTCAGAAGGTAAAACTCAAGCTGGAAATGTCTTAACTTATTGAGAGAAGCCTGCTAAGGGAAGGAGAGGGAGAAAAGAGAACACAAAGGTTGAAGCTCACATCAAGGCTGTTAATTTGCACAACTTTAAGAATCCTCCTCTTGTTACTGCCTAATCATGTAATGTGAGCCTAGGAAAAGGCTCCTCACCTTGACCTCTTATTGAGATGCTGCATGTGATAACATGCAAGGCTGTATGGGAAGAGCTCCTTGCTTTCCCCTGGCCACCCTTTAACCCTTGTTCACTTCCAGTGTTGGGAATAGTAGGTACGACTGGAAATACTTTCCTACCTATACTGAGCTGAACACTGGAGGGCCGGTTCCGGAGATGATCCTTTTCCCTGTCATAGATCACCATCCCATGAACAACCACAGACCACCACCCCTGAATGAAAAGAAAGAGTTATAAAAACATTGAATGCTTTCTCTCTAAGGGACCATAATGGATAAGTAGGTTATAAAAATAATAATTCAAAAAAAAATTTTTTTTGAAACGGATTTTCACTCTTGTAGCCCAGACTGGTCCCGAACTCCTGACATCAGGTGACCCATCGGCCTCAGCCTCCCAAAGTTCTGGGATCATAGGCCTGAGCCACCGCTCCCGGCCTAAAATAATTTTAAAAACGTTCTGGGGTCGAAATTGATATCCACCTTCCTAGAAACTGCTTTGCCAAGTTGGACGAAATGCGAACCCTAATTTCCCCCCCGTGCATTATTGGCAGTCAATCATATTGGATCTAGGGCAGCCCTTGGTTGCTAGTCGTGGGAAGGGCATTCTGGAAGTGCCTAAAACCGCCCGCAAAGCAGTGGGTAAAGCCGCGGCCTAGAGGGGGCATGGCTGACCCACGCCAAACAGCGCATTAGTCGCAAAACCAGGTGCTGGCTGAACCTCAGTTTGCGTCTTCGCTCCGCCGCCTTCTGGAGTCCTTTCCGCCCCTAGAGGACGCAAGTGGGCTAAACAGCAGTCATGCCCTTCACCATCATGACGCCCGCAGGCGGGACCACCGAGCACTGTAGACAGCTGCCCTTTACAATCATGGCTCATAGAAACTCTACTGCACGCTGGCCGTGACCGACGCTGCTCCTCAGAAGCATGGCGCCGGCGGAAGTTGTAACCTGGGCTGTCCGGAGTGGGCAGCTGCCCCTCACAAGCATGGCGTCAGCTGAAAATGAAGTCTGTGCTGTGCGGAGCGTCGCCTGCCCCTCACAAACATGGCGCCTGCAGAAGGTGCAGTACGGACTTAGTGGGGCGGGGCGGGGCAGGTGCCCTTCACAAACATGGCGGCTGGGGGTTGCGGGGCGTGGCGGGGTCTGGATGGGAAGCCGAGCAGACGGCCCCAGAACAAGCGGTCATGTGACTGGGAAGATGGCCGTCTTTCCTTGGTAAGGAAGCAGCGGCGGGTGGGCTTTGGGGAGGGGCTGTTTTTAGTTGTGATGGGGTCGGCCTGGGTCTGAGAGTGTGAATTCCTCTCTGTCTGGTTATGGTGGTCGACCGCCCACCCGCAAGTTGTCTTGACCGTAGAATCCCTGGTCGCTACCGCGATCCAGTGGAGCAGTCTGAAGCCAGACGGGCGGGTTCTTGGTTCTCTCCCTTTCTGCTGCCTCTCTGCGCCTTCCACGGGTCCCTGTCCATTCATTCCTTAAAGAAAACTTGAGTTTCCAGGCTTCCGCGTCCCCAGAGTTGGCGCGGGTTCCGGGGTCGCTGGATGAGGGTAATGGTGGGCTCAGCTCTAAGTCTGGACGAGTCGGGAGACCTGGCTGTTGGTCAGTGTCCTGACTTCCTCTGTTCACCTGGAGACTTGCTTTTCTCATCTGTAAAATGGCCGCCATTCATCCTACCCTAAGCACAGCCCTCAGACGTATTCCTTGGCCTCAAGGAGCTCACAGTATAATGGAGCAGACACACAGTAGAGGGGATGTCCAAAGAAGGCATTCGGATGAGGCACCAAGAAGGGAGTGATTATCCTCACCGAGGGGCTGGGGGAAGGCTTCAAAGAGGAAGAGTTAAATTGGGTCTTGGAGAATGAATAGGAGTTCACTATAGGGGAGGGCGCGGCGTGTGCCTGGTTGGCAGGCCCTTTAGGTCCCTTGTGTGGAGTAGCTAGGAGTGAGTGACTGAAGCTTCAGGGTTCAGCAGGTGGTATGTGTGTGAGTGAAGAACTTGAGCAAGTTGTGTTGGTGATGATGGTGGGATTTGAGGACAGAGAATCTCTCTTGCATCTCAGAAAGCGAGATGATTTACTTTCTCTTCAAATGATGTGAAGTAGCTTAGATTAAATGAGCAAATGAAAGATCTTAGAAATAATCAGGTGCAACCTTCTGCTTTTGTGCTTGACAAACAGTTGATTTCGTCTTATTCCTTTCACTTGCCCAACACTTAAGAGACTGCTTCCTTGACACGCTGCATCAGCATTGAATGCCTCTGAGCACTTCTACGGCCTGAGTTTTCTTTCAGTTAATAGTCATGCTAGCTAGGTACGGTGGCTTACGCCTCTAATCCTAGCACTTTGGGAGGCCGAGGCTGGCGGATCACCTGAGGTCAGGGGTTCGAGACCAGCTTGGCCAACATGGCGAAACCTCGTCTCTACTAAAAACACAAAAATTAGCTGGGTGTGGTGGCACGCACCTGTAATCCCAGCTACTCGGGAGGGTGAGGCAGGAGAATCACTTGAACCTGGGAGGTGGAAGTTGCAGTGAACTGAGATCGTGCCACTGCACTCCAGCCTGGGCAACAGAGTGAGATTCTGTCTCAAAAAAATAATAAAAATAAAAAATAAAAAAGTCATGCTAGCTTGACCAAAAAGCTTACCAAAAACATGGGAAACGTTTGACTTCAGCGGATTTATCTGGAGTTTGCAATCAAAAAATCCAGGAAGATGCTGTCTTAATCTCTGCATCCCAGTACATTTTTACCTTTGGCATTTTAATTTTATATTACAAGCAGGCAAACAGGTGCCATAACGCTTTTATTGTTCAGGGTCTCTATAGTTCCTAATCTGGCCATGCGCTAAACATTTTTTTGTTGTAGTTTTTGTTGAGACGGAGTCTCACCCAGTCTTGAGTGCAGTGGCCTGATCTTGGCTCACCGCAACCTCCGCCTTCGGGTTCAAGCGATTCTTTGCCTCAGTCTCCCGAGTAGCTAGGATTACAGGCGCACACCATCACACCTGGCTAATTTTTGTATTTTTAGTAGGGACGGGGTTTCACCATGTTGGCCAGGCTGGTCTGGAACTCCTGACCTTAAGTGATCCGTCCACCTCGGGTTCCCAAAGTGCTGGGATTACAGGCGTGAGCCACCGCACCTGGCCCGTGCTCTAAACATTTTCCTTCAAAGTGCACATTCATCTTTCTGTTTCCCTAATAGACTGCTTGCTCCTTAAAAGTTAAAAGGACTGGCTGGGCGCAGTCTCTCATGGCCTGTAATCCCAGCACTTGGGGAGGCCGAGGCGGGTGGATCACCTGAGGTCAGGAGTTCAAGACCAGCCTGCCCAACATGGTGAAAGCCCATCTCTACAAAAATACAAAAAGTAATCAGGCATGATGGCAGGTTCCTGTAATCCCAGCTACTTGGGAGGCTAAAGTGGGAGAATCGCTTGATCCCAGGAGGTGGAGGTTGCAGTGAGCCAAGATTGTGCCATTACACTCCATCCTGAGCTACTGATTGAGACTCCGTCTCAAAAAAAAAAAAAAAAAAAAAATGGACTGAGTTTTGTCCGTCTTTCTATGTGGCACCTAAAACATGATGGTGAGTGCTGAATAATATTTATGAATGAATGAGGAGACTGAGAAGGACTACAGAGGAGAAATGAGTTTCTGTCATTAAATTTGCATTTATCAAGTCCTTATTTTCTGTCAGACACCACTCGTAAAGTGTATAACGTGTAATGTCATTCGGTTCTTAAAACAACCCCATGTTTTGGATGAAGAAATAGAGGCAGAGAAATGAAGCAGTTTACTTAAAATAATTAGCCCCACAAGGGATAGCTGAGGTTTGGAAGCCAGAGGCTATGATAGTAATCATCCTTGTCAGCTGGACCTCAAATCTATATATCCTGGGCTGAGGTTTCTGGCTTGCGGGGTTCCCCAAATCTCACTGCCTTGTTATGAGTCTCCCCAGGAATGCCTCTTTTTATCCACAGTTTTTGCTATCCCTGCTGTATTTTGGCCTGGCTAGATGAGATGTCCTGTATACCCTAGATCACATTTTCCCTTTAATCCTGTGGTTATAGCACACTTGAAAATACCACCCTTTGGGCCAGGGAAGGTGGCTCATGCCTCTAATCCCAGCACTTTGGGAGGCCAAGGCCGGTGAATCACTTGATGTTAGGAGTTCAAGACCAGCCTGGCCAACATAGTGAAACCCTGGCTCTACCAGAGGAAAAAAAAAAAACATTCCTCAGACGTGGTGGCGGGTACCTGTAGTCCCAGCTACTCTGGAGGCTGAGGCAGGAGATTTGCTTGAACCCAGGAGGCAGAGGTTGCAGTGAGCTGAGACCGCGGCACTGCACTCCAGCCTGGGTGACACAGTGAGACTCTGTCTCAAAAAAGCCAAAAAAACAAAAAAACCAACCCTTAGAGTCAGAATCACTACATCATTTTAAGAGTTTTTTATATGTAGCGGTGAAGGGGGCTGGGTAATATTGTGATTGTGGAAGAAAAAGCTGTGTGGTCCGATTATGTGATTAGTAACCAAAAAGTTATTTGAGAATTAAAATAGTTGGGCAAAGCATTTAGTGGATTTTGGTGTTTCCAGTATAAGGAGATTAATCTGGTTAATCATAGTGGGATTTCTGTGTATCCATATGATCAGGGGTAAATAATTTAAAAATAGGCTGTTGTCAACCTTTCATGTGCATATAAACCACCTGAGGATTTCGTTAAAATGCAGATTCTGATTCTGTAGGCGTGGGGTATTTTAGCCCACCCAGATGACATCATTGCTGGTCTGTGAACCACGCTTTGAGTAGCCAAGGGCTAAGCCCAGCCAATAGTGGAGGTGTGAAATGGTGGCCTTTTCTCCTGTGGCAGGTGCCAGTGATCCAGACAAGCCCTATACGTTGCTGGGGGTTGGAATTATGGGGAATTTTTACCAGTTTATATCAAGTATATTAGCAAAAAGAAAAGGAATGATTTTTGAGGAGATCCCCACAAGAGGTCGCTGTTAGCCTTACCAAAGATCCAGAGATTAAAGAAAATGCTTTAACATCTCAGACTTAGGATCAGAGAGCAAATTTAAGGAAATCATCAAAGAAGTGGTAGAAAATCAAAATATGATGGTTTACTGTGGGCTTTTAGGAAGGAAAAAACATTTTAAATTTATTTCCACAAGCAGTATTTTTTTTTTTTATTTGAGATGGAGTCTCGCAGTGCCGTGATCTCGGCTCACTGCAACCTCTGCCTCCCGGGTTCAAGCAATTCTCGTGCCTCAGCCTCCTGAGTATCTGGGATTACAGTTGTGTGCCACCACGCCTGGCTAATTTTTTTGTGTTTTTAGTAGACACGTGGTTTTGTCATGTTGGCCAGGCTGGTCTTGAACTCCTGACCTCAGGTGATCCACCCACCTCGGCCTCCCAAAGTGCTGGGATTACAGGCGTGAGCCACTGCGCCCAGCCCAGAAGCGGTATTTTTTCACCACCATCCCCCTTTTTTAAAAAAATAAAATTCGTTCCAAAACTTCGCTCTTTTAAGGGAAATAGACATACGCTTAATTTTTAAAGTTCTCAACATGACCTATAGATAATCTATAGAACTACTGAATCTGTTTCTATTGCTGTTCTCACTTTCGACAAGATACCAGCATTCTAACAGCCTTAGCTTCTTCATCTGAAAAATGGGCATAGTACCTATCTCGTTGGGTTGATTAAATGAGGAAATGGAGGTAAAGGCTGGCTCAGAGCCTGGTATATAGTAAGTGCGTAATAAATGAGAACTGTTATTTGATTGTTGCATAAGAAGTCATATTTCTGTTTTGATCTAGCGTTTGCTCAGCTGTTGATTGTTAGTAATTCATTAGAATTACTATTGGGACAGAAAACACATTTGGAATTGACTTTCCTGTCCCATTAAATTTCCTGCTTTGTTAAATGAACCTTTCAACATTCTACTTTTCTTGACAACAGATAAAATTAAGAGTCATTTGAGGCTGGGCGTGATGGCTCACACCTATAATCCCAGCACTTTGGGAGGCCAAGGTGGGCGATTCACTTGAGGTCAGGAGTTCTAGACCAGCCTGGCCAAAATGGTGAAAGCCCGTCTCTACTAAAAATACAAACATTAGCCAGGCATGGTGACACACACCTGTAATCCCAGCCACCTGGGAGGCTGAGGCAGGAGAATTGCGTGAATCCAGGTGGTGGAGATTGCAGTGAGCCAAGATCATGCAACTGCACTCCATCCTGGGGGACGAAGCAAGACTCTGTCTCAAAAAAAAAAAAAAAAAAAAAAAAGTGATTTAAAAAGAGGAAAAGTGTGATTTGATGTTTTAAACTCCATCTTGACCGTTGATGATTCTTATTCAAATTTATCCTTTGGGGTTTTGTTTTTTAATAAATCAAGGATGGCCTGATAGCATCCTTGATGGGATGGGAGTTTGGAAGAATTTTTTTTTTTTTTTTTTTTGAGATGGAGTTTCACTCTTGTTGTCCAGGCTGGAGTGCAATGGTGAGATCACAGCTCACTGCAACCACCGCCTCCCGGGTTCAAGCGATTCTCCTGCCTCAACCTCCCTAGTAGCTGGGATTATAGGCATGCGCCACCACGCCCAGCTAATTTTGTATTTTTAGTAGAGACAGGTTTCTCCATATTGGTCAGGCTGGTCTTGAACTCCTGACCTCAGGTGATCCGCCTGCCTTGGTCTCCCAAAGTGCTGGGATTACAAGCATGAGCCACTGTGCCTGGCCATGCAAGAATATTTCATAGGTAATTTCAATTGCAATCTTTTGGAAGATTAAGTTGGTGTATATTTTGTAAATATGATCCCAGAGGGACTAGGCAAATTGTTGTGAAAGGGATTGTCCCTTAAAAAAAATAAAAGTAGAACTGGTTCATTATTGTCAACCAGCCTTTCTCCTTTCCTACACTCAAAGCCAAGTTCATGTAGAAAGGATAGAAATGAACTGACATGGGAGCTCAATTCGTTTGTGCTGGCTTGGGTTTCTGGGTTAATGGAGGATTTTGGGTAAAGCTGACTAGCTGCATGGCACAATTAGATCTGGGGTGCCAGTATTTCATACAAAGGTTAATAAAGTTGGGAATCTAAATGGGAGCAGAAGGTGGCATGGGGGGATGAATTTAAGGGACTTGGAGGCCAAGAAAAGTCCCTGTGCTCTTTGAGGTTCCTCTTTCCCTAAAGTGGGTTGGGAGAGACAAGAATTGTCCTGTGTGCCCAGGAAAGCTGATTTTCTGGGTTGTGATATTTTACAAATGAGAAGTGCACATGCCTTTTGTTAAAGAAAAATTATTGGCCGGGCGCAGTGGCTTATGTCTCTAATCCCAGCACTTTGGGAGGTCGAGACAGGTGGATCACCTGAGGTCAGGAGTTCGAGACCAGCTTGGCCAACGTGGTGAAACCCTGTTTCTAATAAAAAATACAAAAATTAGCTGGGCGGGGTGCTTATGGTCCCAGCTACTCGGGAGGCTGAGGCAGGAGGATAGCTTAAACCTGAGATGTGGAGGTTGCAGTGAGCTGAGATGGCACCACTGCACTCCAGCCTGGGCAACAGAGCGAGACTCTGTCAAAAACAAGAATAAAAACAAAACAAAAGTATTATTCATGGTGCTTGTTAAAGGAGATGAGACAGGCTTATTCTGGGGGACTGCTACAGTGGGGTTTTGCAATAGGGGACAGAGATTTGCCTCAGCTCCTAATGCAACAAGGAATAGTGGGAATTTGTAGCTAAGTGGGGGTAGAAGAAGAATTTGATCAGATATTGAGGGCGATTGGATATGGAGGGGGATTCTGGCTCAATCAACTTGACAGAATTCTTGCTAAAACTTGGCGGTGCAAAAACAAACATGGAAATCCAGTAGCTGAGCACTAACTGGAGAGAACTCAGAGGAACCTGCCCAGAGTTTGGTCAAGGAGAGACTGACACTTTCCATACTGGCTGAGGTGTTCTCCTGCTTGGAGAGTCAACGGAGGAGATGAGAAAGGGGTCAAATGGGTTAACTTGTCTAAGACTTTGTGGCCCTGACATTCTGTGACTATGGTAGCTTTTAAAATTATATGTGGATACACACATTGCATAAAAAATTTGGTTAAGTATGTGAGTTAAAAAAAATTTTTTAAACCATAACCTATGAAATTAAATTCTCAGATCTTCATAACAGAGATTAAGAACTGTAAAGACAATGATTTAAAAACGTTTTCTGCCTTCCCCCGCTCCTGTATTCCTCTCCTTCCGATTTTTTTTTTTTTTTTTTAAGAGAGAGGGACTCATTCTGTTGCCCAGGCTGGAGTGCAGTGGTGTGATCATAGCTCACTGCAGTTTTGAACTCCTGGATTCAAGCGATCCTCCCACCTCAACCTCTAGAATAGCTGGGACTCCAGGCACACACCACCACACTCAGCAAATTTATGTGTTTATTTATTTATTTATTTATTTTGTAGAGATGGAGTTTCGCCATGTTGCCCAGTCTGGTTTCAAACTCCTGGGCTCAAGCAGTCCATCCATGTGTGCCTCCCTAAGTGCTGGGATTACAGGCGTGAGCCACCATGCCCGGTGGAGAGAATTTCTTAAAAGGAAACGGATACTTTATTTCCAGAGGAGCAACAATAAGACTATTATTGCAGCACAAAGATGAGCACAGAAGACACAGGGACAGTATCTTCAAAATGCTCAAAGAAGGCTGGGCGCAGTGGCTCATGCCTGTAATCCCAGCTCTTTGGGAGGCTGAGGCAGGAGGATCTCTTGAGCCCAGGAGTTTAAGACCAGCCTGGGAAACATAGGAAGACGCCATCTCTCAAAAAACTCAAAAAAAAAAAAAAAAAAATGTAAAAGGAAAAGTTCTTTTTTGTTTCTGTACATTTTACTATAAAGGTTCCAAGTAAGTTTTGTTTGTTTGCTTTTGTACTTGTTCTGCTTGGGCCACAGATATTTCTTGAGGCTGTAGCTTGATGTCTTTCTTTGGTTTTGGAAAAGTTTCACCTATTATCTCTTCAGAGACTGTTCTTGCACATTCTCTCTCTTCTCCTCTTTGGGATTCCAGTTATATGTGTGTTAGGCCTTCTCTTCACATTCCTTGCGTCTTTGAAATTCTGCCTGTCTTCCTGTGCTTTTTCCGCTCCTTGCTTCAGTCTCCCCCTTTATTTTCCAGCTCAGGAATCCTTTCTCTTGTTGAACCCTCAAGAAACCAATGAAAACACCTGTGAGCTCTTCATCTCCTTTCTGCATGGCTCCTCCCTCTTGCCCTATGCAGCTTAATGGGCGAATACCTTGAGGGGAAATCTGGGCTGGATTTCTGTCTTCCCTGTGCTCTCTGCTCTTCCCCTGGCTGTCTTGATAGCCCTGAACTCCTGTGAAGCTCTGTGAGGTTTCCTTAGAGCCCTTTTAGCTGCCCTGCTGTTTCACAGCCGCCCTCTGCTTGGCATCAGCCTCTTGTCCCATGCTGAGAATTCACAAATGCCCTGAGCCGGAAAGCTGGGCAAGGAGTGTTAGAGTCACCTTAGTGAATTTCCCTTTGTTCTGGTGTGTGGCATGACAAGTCCAGTATGCTGGCGGCTCTTTATACCTTCGAACATATATATATATATATATATTTTTTTGAGACGGAGTCTCACTCTGTCCCCCATGCTGGAGTGCAGTGGTCTGATCTCGGCTCACTGCAACCTCTGCCTCCTGGATTCAAATGATTCTCCTGCCTCAGCATCCCAAGTAGCTGGGATTACAGGCATGTGCCACTATGCCCAGCTGATTTTTGTATTTTAAGTAGAGACGGGGTTTCACTGTGTTAGTTAGGATGGTCTCGATCTCCTAACCTCATGATCCGCCCACCTCAGCCTCCCAAAGTGCTGGAGTTATAGGCATGAGCTACCGTGCCCGGCCAAACAGATTTTTTAAAATGTTGTGTTTTGTTTCTTGTTTGCCATGGAGTCTCGCTGTGTGGCCCAGGCTGGAGTGGAGTGGTGTGATCTCCGTTCACCATGGACCTCCACCTCCTAGGTTCAAGCGATTCTTCTGCATCAGCCTCCCAAGTAGCTGGGATTACAGGCATGCACCACCACACCCACCTAATTTTTGTATTTGTAGTAAAGGTGGGGTTTTACCATTTTGGGAACTCCTGACCTCAAGTGATCCGCCCACCTAGGCCGCCCAAATTGCTGGGATTACAGGTGTGAGCCACTGTGCCTGGCCAAAAAATTTGTTTTTAAGTGTAGTTTTCTTTTTGACTTTGGTGGGCATATTGTGCTGTTCTAAACTACCTTGTCATTGAGGAAGCCTCATCAGAAGTTTTTAGTGTTTTAAGTACCCCCATCCACTAATTGACTCTGTTTTGCTGTTTACCAGGCACTCCAGGAACAGGAACTACAAAGCTGAATTTGCATCATGCCGACTGGAGGCTGTACCATTGGAGTTTGGGGACTATCACCCTCTGAAACCCATAACTGTAAGATTTTTTAAGGGTCTTTGTGAATGATATTCTTATCCCTTGAAATGAAAGACAGTCTTCTTGAGTCTTTTCCATTTTGCCAGTGGTAATCAGTTTTGCATATTTGATTTTTTTTTTTTTTTTCCAGACAGAGTCTTGCTCTATCACCCAGGGTGGAGTGCTGTGGTGGCTCAATGCAACCTCTGCCTCCTGGGTTTAAGCGATTCTCCTGCCTCAGCTTCCCGAGTAGCTGGGACTGTAGGCACGCGCCACCATGCCTAGCTAAGTTTTTGTATTTTTTTAGTAGAGATGGGGTTTTGCCATGTTGTCCAGGCTGGTCTCAAACTCCTGAGCTCAGACAGTCTGTCCACCTCTGCCTCACAAAGTGCTAGGTGTGAGCCACCGCACCCAGCCTGATTTTTTTTAAAAATTTTTTATTATTTATTTATTTTTGAGATAGAGTCTCACTTTGTAGCCCAGGCTGGAGTGCAGTGGTACAATCTCAGCTCACGGCAACCCCTGCCTCCCAGGTTCAAGTGGTTCACCTGCCTTACCCTCCCAAATAGCTGGGATTACAGACATGCGCCATCACGCTTGGCTAATTTTTGCTAGTTTTTGTGTTTTTAGTAGAGACAGGATTTCGCCATGTTGGCCAGGCTGGTCTCGAACCATTGACCTCAGGTGATCCACCGGCCTTGGCCTCCCAAAGTGCTGGGATTACAGGAGTGAGCCACCGTACCCGGCCTGCATGTTTAAATCAACTAGTTTGTTCACTGCCTCTTTTTTGTAATATTGGCCTCGCCCAGCACCATTTTTACTCCCTTCCTCCTTAGTGAGGTTGCTATGTGAATGGGATGACTTTGTTCCTGATTTGGCTGTGTCAGCAAAATGTATCTTGACTTTTAATTTTTGTATTTGGAATATAAGAGTCACTGTAATTGCCAGCAGAGAGTGCTGTCCTGAATAGCATGTTAGTCTATCTGTGGGTTTATTTAAAAAACAAAATGAAAGCAGGCAAGAGGCTTGGCTGATTCCTCTCTGCCAGGTCGGTACTGTCTTTTTAGCAAGTAATAGAAACTATGCGGTTGTCATGTTGGGGAAAAGATGTGATTGTCAGCCTGGAGGCTCTGGGAATGTATGGAGACAATTGCATAAGGCAGAAGACCCCAAGACTGCGATTCAGCCTCCCGGGACCCCTCAGTCCCCATGCTGTTGTGTGGCTGTGGGTGACCTCACTACAGCCACAGTTGCGTTCATTCTCGGGTGCCCGTTCTCCATGTTAAAAGAAAATTCTTGGCCGGGCTTCGTGCTTCATACCTGTAATTTCAGCACTTTGAGAGCCTGAAGCGGGTGGATCACCTGAGGTCAGGAGTTTGAGACCAGCCTGGCCAACATGGCAAAACTCCATCTCTACTAAAAATACTCTACTAAAACTATAAAATTTAGCTGGGCATAGTGGCGTGTGCCTGTAGTCACAGTTACTCAGGAGACTAAGACAGGAGAATTGCTCAAACCAGGAGGCAGAGGTTGCAGTGAGCCAAGATCGTGCCACTGCACTCTAGCCTGGGCGACAGAGAGAGACTCCATCTCAAAAAAATAAAAAGAAAATTCTCAGCCAAATTAAATTTAATGGAGTTTAATTGAGCAAAAAATAATTCATGAATCGGGCAGCCTCCTGAGCCAGAGTAGGTTCAGAGAGACTCCAACACAGTCACGTGGTAGACGAAGATTTATGGACACAAAAAGGAAAGTGACATTCAGAAAACAGAAGTGAGGTACAGAAACAGCCGGGTTGGTTACAGTTCAGCATTTGTCTTATTTGAACCCAATTTGAACACTTGTCTCCCGGCACGTTTTTTTCTTTTTTTTTGAGATGGAGTTTTACTCTTGTTGCCCAGGCTGGAGTGCAATGGCGCAATCTCAGCTCACTGCAACCTCTGCCTCCCGGGTTCCAATGATTCTCCTGCCTCAGCCTCCTGAGTAGCTGGAACTACAGGTGCCCGCCACCCTGCCAGGCTAATTTTTTTGTCTTTTTAGTAGAGACAGGGTTTCACTATGGTGGCCAGGCTGGTCTCAAACTCCTGACTTCAGGTGATCCGCCTGCCTCGGCCCCCCAAAGTGCTGGGATTACAGGTGTGAGCCCCTGTGCCTGGCCCACTTGGCCCCCTTTAATTGGCCTATTTGGCCAAAACTTGGTGATCGGCACAAGAGTAGGTTGCAGTCTGTTTACACGTCCAGTGAGGTTATAGTTCGTTACGCGCAGAGAAACCTTTAGGCCAAAGTTAAAATACATAAGGAGACAGCTGTAGGCTAAACTTCATTTAACACCCATACCATAACAGAATAGCTGCGAAGAGCTGCTGCAGCTCCAGGCCTATCCTGTTAGATTGGCAACATCGGCAGCAGGAAAAGGCTTTTCTCGAGCAGTTTTCGTTGACCCACTTTTGTTATGCGCCCTACCCTGAACGAGCATTGGTGACCTGCTGTATAGAATAAGTTGATAGACTGGGGTAGGTCTAAGGCTCACCTTGGGAACTGAGAGCAGAGTTCACTCCACCAGGCCTGTGGGAACTGAGTATGGGGGAGAGATGTTTTCTCAAATAAAAATTGGAGTATTAAGTATTAAGCCTGTGAGGTGGAGGAATGGGTGCCAGAAGACAAAAACAGCAAATGTATACCAATGGGAGGTGCTTCTCTCTCTCCCCTAGACTGCAGTTCAGTTCCATTCAGGCAGCCATCACTGGCAGTTGGCATCTGACTCGACAGGTTTGAGGGCAGAGTCCTCAATGAGACAGCCCTGGCCCAGTACGGTGGCTCATACCTGTAATCCCAGCACTTTGGGATGCTAGATGGGAGGATCCCTTGGGCCCAGGAGTTTGAGACCGGCCTGGGCAACAAAGTGATACCCCACCTCTACAAAAAGTAAAAAAAAAATCAGCAGAGTGCGATGGTGTGCTTGTAGTCCCAGCTACTCGGGAGACTGAGGCAGGGAGATGGCTTATGCCCGGGATGTTGAGGGTACGGTGAACTGTGATCGCACTATTGCACTCCAGGCTTAGTGACAAAGTGAGACTTTGTCTCCAAAAAAAAAAAAAAGACATCTTCACTTCAGACACTCCAACTTTGCTACACATTGGGAGTTCCCATGCCTCCCTCCTTCATGTTCAATAATTTGCTATAATGGCTCACAGAACTAGGGAAACATTTACTTATACTTACCAGTTTATTATTACGGATATTACAAAGAATACAGATGAATAGCCAGATGAAGAGGTACGTAGGGTGAGGCCCGGGGGAAGGGGCGCACAGAGCTTTCACGTCACCTTCAGGTACCTCGATGTGTTCTTGTTCACCTACCTGGAAGCTCTTCAGACCCCGTTTTATTTTTATTTATTTATTTATTTATTTATTTATTTATTTCAGGCAGGGTCTCACTGTGTCACCCAGCTGGAGTGCAATGGCACAGTCTCAGCCCACTGCAACCTCTGCCTCCCAAAAGCCCATTTTTTGTGGGTATTTTTGGAGGCATCGTTGCATAGGCATGATTGATTATTAACTCCATCTCCAGCCCTCTCACCTTCCCAAAGGCTGGGGAATGGGGCTGAAAGCTCCAAGATTCTAATCATGGCTTGGTCTTTCTGGTGACCAGACCGCGTCCTGAAGCTCTGCAGGAGCCCATTGGGAGTCACCTTATTAAGACAAAAGATGCTCCTTCACCCAGGGAATCTTCCAAGGTATTAGGAGCTCTGTGGCAGGAACTGGGGCCAGAGACCACATAAATTTAACAGCCTGGAGTGCAGTGGTGCGATCTCGGCTCGCTGCAACCTCCGCCCCCTGGGCTCCTGCCATCCTCCCACTTCAGCCTTCTGAGTAGCTGGGACCACAGGCATGTACCATCACACCTGGATTATTTTCATATCTTTTGTAGAGATAGGATTTCGCCATGTTGCCCAGGCTGGTCTCAAACTCCTGGCTTCAAGAGATCCTCCTGCCTCAGCACCCCAAATTGTTGGGATACAGGCATGAGCCACTGCACCCAGCAGAAAACTTAACTTTTATAGGGTGTTCAAGGGAGAAAGACAAAAAAAGTATCTGGTTAAAGTAGAAATTCCCTACTTAGAGGTTAGTTGTCGGTTTTGATTGGCCGGTCTCTAGTTAGTGGGTAGCTGGCGATTTGCAACTGATTAAGCTTAAGTTCCATTTTACTACTTATATTGAGTTGAATTTTGGTTTGCTACATAGGGAACCCCAGGTGCTGTAGCCGTCTCAGTCCAGTGACCTCTCAATTAATTTTTTTAACACTTCCTAACCCTAACTTCCTACTTTCCCTTCCTCGACAGTTGTGATCCTGAGTCATGTCCATTTGTCACAAAAAAATAAGCATCCCCTGCAGATGGATAAATCTCTGCTGTAAATGAACCATCCATTCAACTACCAGAATGGGAGGAAAGTACCCACTGGAGTGTTTCCCTGGGGAGAGTTGTGGGAGCTCCGTTTTACCTCCAGAAATTTTACTCACAGGTCACAGAATCAAAGACTAAGAAAGTGAACCGGAAAGGAAGCACTTCTTCCACATCCTCCTCCTCTTCCAGCTCCGTGGTGGACCCGCTGAGCAGTGTCCTGGATGGGACTGACCCCCTCTCCATGTTTGCAGCCACTGCTGACCCCGTAGCCTTGGCAGCTGCCACGGTAAGCACCCCGGCCATGGTCGTCCAGTGGGGGTCAGTTTTGTGGGTGCAGGAATGGGTGGTTTTTTCCTGTCCTGCCCTTTTTTTTTCTCTAAGAGACAGAGTCTCACTCTGTTACCAGGGCTGGAGTGCAGTGATGTGATCGTGGCTCACTGCAGCCTCCAACTCCAGGCTCAAGCAATTCTCCCAACTCACCCTCCTGAAAAGCTGGGACTACAGGTACACACTGCTGTGCCCGGTTAATTTTTTATTTTGTTGTAGATGTGGGGTCTTGCTATGTTGCCCAGGGTGGTCTCATACTCCAAGCCTCAAGCGATCCTCCCACCTGAGCCTCCTGAAGCTTCTTCCCCTTTTTTAAGTTGCAGAAATAATGCACACAGTACATTCTGGTTGCAACAGTTCAGGTCATCCAGACGTGAGAGGCTGGTGTAGCTCTGGGAAGTAGGTCTTTTTCTTTCTTCTTTTTTTTGAGCATTTTAAAATTTATTTTTAGTTTTAAATTTAACTTAATGTTTTTTGAGACAGCCTTGCTGTGTCACCCAACCTAGAGTGCAGTGGTCCGATCTCACTGCAGCCTCCGCCTCTGGGTTCAAGCAATTCTCTCACCTCAGCCTGCTGAGTTGCTGGAACAGGCACGCATTACCACACCTAGCTCATTTTTGTGCTTTTTGTAGGGACGGGGTTTCATCATGTTGACCAGGCTGGTCTTGAACTCTTGACCTCAAGTGATCCACCTGCCTCAGCCTCCCAAAGCGCTGGGATTATAGGTGTAAGCCACTGTGCCTGGCTCTTAAAATTTATTTTTAATTTTAATTTTATTCTTCTTATAAATCTTTTTACATAATTACATAAGTAAATCACTCATTTTGATGTGAAAAAGTCAGACACTACAGATAAAGTCATGTAGAACAATCCTTCTCATGCCAGTCTCCACGCTGGCGGTCGTGAGAATGTTGGCTGTAATGTGTCTTCTTCCATAGCTTTTCCCTGTATTTTCATAGATACTTCCGACAGCGGTCTCCGGCCATTCCCATACCTACTCATATATAAATAATTACGGCGTCAGCTTACTGCATAGCAGGCATTTTTTCAGAGTGCGTTTCATATTTGGTTCTCTTACTACCTTGTGAGGGGTATTAGAATCCTCATTAAAGGGCAGCCGTGGAGGGATAGAGATATCAAGTCACATCCAAGCTGGGATTCAAACCCAGCCAGTCTGACTTCAGAATACATGCTCTCAATCATCATCCTATGCCGTGTTTCATATATTATTTACCATTGTTACATAAATGGAACTGCAGTTTTGTGACTTGTTTTTTTGGAGATAGTCTTGCTCTGTTGCCCAGGCTGGACTGCAGTGGCATGATCGTAGCTTGCTGCAGCCTTAAACTCCTGGGCTCAAACAATCCCCCTGCCTCAGCCTCCTGAGCAGCTGGGACTTCAGGTGTGCACCACTGCGCTCGGCTAATTTTGGATTTCTTGGTAGAGCCAGGGTCTTGCTGTGTTGCCAAAGCTGGTCTCAAACTCCTGGGCGCAAGCAATCCTCCTGCCTTGGCCTCCCAGAGTGCTGGGATTATAAGCCTGAGCCATTGCACCCCACAACTTTTTTTTTAAATTTAATTTTTATTTTTGTTTTTACTTTTTTTTTTTCTGAGATGGAGTCTCATTCTGTTGCCCAGGCTAGAGTGCAGTGACGCCATCTTGGCTCACTGCGACCTCTGTCTCCTGGGTTCAAGTGATTCTCCTGCTTCAGCCTCCCTAGTAGCTAGGATTACAGGCATGTGCCACCACACCCGGCTAATTTTTGTATTTTTTGTAGAGACAAGGTTTCATCACATTGACCAGGCTGGTCTCGAACTCCTAACCTTAGGTGATCTGCCCACATTGGCCTCCCAAAGTCCTGGCATTACAGATGTGAGCCATGCCGCCCAGCCAACTTTTTTTTTTTTTTTTTTTTTGACTTGACCATATGTCTTGGAGAACTATCTATGTTAGTACATTTAGAACAACCTTATTATTTTGACCAGCCTTATTGTATTCTAAAGACTGGCTTTACCTACTTTAATTTGCCATTCCTCTACTGATGTATCCATCAGATAGAGGATATCCCTGATAGTTTCTGGGTTTTGCTAATACAAACAGCAGCGCACCATGTGTCTCGAACATACACACGCCTTGGTGCATGTCTGCAGGGATTTCTGCAGGGTAGCTTCCTAGAAGTTCTTTGCTGGTTGGCCACGCATGGTGGCTCACACCTGTAATCCCAGCACTCTGGGAGGTCGAGGCGGGCGGATCACGAGGTCAGGAGTTCGAGACCAGTCAGACCAACGTGGTGAAACACCATCTCTGCTAAAAATACAAAAATTAGCTGGGCGTGGTGGCGGGCACCTGTAATCCCAGCTCCTCAGGAGGCTGAGACAGGAGAATTGCTTGAACCGGGAAGCGGAGGTTGCAGTGAGCCGGGGATTACGCTGCTGCACTCCAGCCTGGGCGACAGAATGAGACTCCATCTCTTTGCTGGCATAAGGCAATGTGTATTTAAGGTTTTGATGGCTATCACCAAACTGTCCTCCAAAAAGAGTTAACCAGTCTGTATTTCCACCAGTGATGTTGAAGAGGGGCCTGTTTCCCTGCATTCTTGCCAGCCTGACATCAGCCAGCATTTTAACTCTTTGACATTCTGATACTTGAAAAAGTGGTCTGTTCCAACTATCCTTTCCTTAATTCTTAATGAGTTTGAGCATTTTTTGATATGTTTATTGTCCATTTGTGATGAAATGGCCAGATTTTTTTTTTTTTTTTGTGATGGAATCTTGCTCTGTCACTCAGACTGGAGTGCAGTGGTGCGATCTTGGCTCACTACAACCTCTGCCTCCCAGGTTCAAGCGATTCTCCTGCCTCAGCCTCCTGAGTAGCTGGGACTACAGGCATGCACCTGGTTAATTTTTGTATTTTTAGTAGAGACAGAGTTTTACCACGTTGGCTAGGCTGGTGTTAAACCCCTGCCCTCAAGTGATCCGTCCACCTCGGCCTCCCAAAGTGCTGAGATTACAGGCATGAGCCACCATGCCCGGCACTGTAATTTTTTTTATGATAGTAAACCTTGAGACAGATCTCTTTTATTCCACAGTAAAGGACTATCTGCCTTCTATTTATATATGTATATATTTAAAGAATAAAATGATACTGCTGCTGAAGAGATTTTCTTGTCTTTCTTTAGGACAGCTCCAGAAGGAAGCGTGATAGAGATGATAACTCCGTTGTAGGATCGGATTTTGAGCCTTGGGCCAACAAACGGGGAGAAATCCTTGCCCGGTACACCACTACCGAAAAGCTGTCTATTGTGAGTACCAGGAGACCCTCTCCCAGGGTCTGCTTCGGAGTTAGTAGTAATTTCTTTTTGTTACATTGCTTTAACTCTTGGGCTCTGTAAGTTTCACTTATTTATTTATTTTTCTACTTCTCTTAAGAGCTCAAATATAAGGCTTCACTTAGTATATCAGTGTTGTTGGCATAAAAATGGCTTCCCAGAAAAATCTGGTAAGGATCAGGGATGTGGCACAGGTCAGAGAAACAATTAGAACAGCAGAGTCTTGTCTTTGGGAGAAGGTTTGAATTATGAAGGGAGGAGGTCGGGCGTGGTGGCTCACGCCTGTAATCCCAGCACTTTGGGAGGCCAAAGTGGGCAGATCACTTGAGGTCAGGAGTTCGAGACCAGCCTGGCCAACATAGTGAAACCCCGTGTCTACTAAAAATACAAAAATTAGCCGGGCGTGGTGGCGGGCACCCTGTAATCCTAGCTACTGAAGTGGCTGAGGCGTGAGAATTGCTTGAACCTGGGAAGTGGAGGTTGCAGTGAGCAAAGATCGCGCCACTGCACTCCAGCCTTGGTGACAGAGTGAGACCCTGTCTCAAGAAAAAAAATTAATTAATTAGTTTAAAAAATGAATTATGAAGGGAGGACAGCACAACACTGGGGGAGAAAGGTGTCACTCAGTAAGTCCCACATAGCTGGGTTTTCTCCTGGAGCTGGAAGTTTACTGTTTCTCTGGATGGCCATTAGGTGAAATAGTTAGCTTCGGCCTCAAGACACTTATGAAATTCGAGGCTTACCTTCCACTTGGCAAACTGCTATGGAAGGAAAGACTCAGGAGAACTGAGACTAACCCAGTCAGGTTAATGCCTGTGTGAGTTAGGACTGGGTTCAGTTGCTTAGAACCAAAGCCCCTCCTAACACTGTAAACAAGGGTGATCTGTATCCCTCCTTATACTGGAGAGAAGTCTCGAGCAGAGGAGTCCAGGACTGGTGTGGCAGCTCCGAGGGCATCAGGGTTCCACTGCGTTCTTTCTTGCTCCTCGGCTGTATTGAGTGTTGCCTCACATTCATGTTGGTAGACAGAGGGAGGAAAGGGAAAGAAAGATGCACCCCCTCCCATTTAGGAAGATTTCTTGGGGTCCCCCAACACTTTCAGTTACATTTGTCTTGAAGGTGTGGTCATGGGCCATTCATAAGTGCAGGGAGGCTAAGAAATGTAGCAGCGTGTCCATCTACAAATGGGACTGTGCCCTGGAGGAAGTGGTGAACTCAGCAGGCCACGGGGAACGCTTGGCCACAGCGCCTCTTCTTTTTTTCCTCCCAGGGTATGCACTCATTGAACAGAATGACAGGCAGAATTGCTGGACTATTTAAATTGAGCCTTTTTTTAACTGTACAGAGTTAACTTAGAGCAGTGATTCTCAACCAGGAGTAATTTTTACCCCCGGGTGGTCATTTGGCAATATCTAGAGACGTTTTTGACTGTCACAGTTCTGGAGGTGGTACTGACATTTATTGGGTGGAGGCCAGAGATGCAGCTAAACATCCAAGGGTGCACAGAATAATCTCCCACAAAAAGTTATCTGGCCTCAAATGGCAGTAGTGTAGAGGGTGATAAACCCTGATTCAGAGTAGGTTAAAAATAGTTCTATTATGTGACTCTGCTGGCATATTAAAAATTTTGGTATTTGTCTGCTGACTTTGAGAACCCTGACTTGAGTAGAAATTTGAATCTTCAGTGGTTTTTAGTGACTGTATTTTCCTTCTTTGAATATATATTTCTTTCTCTTGGGTATGTAAATGGCTTTGTTGGAAAACAATGAACATACTGCCTTAGAATTTTAAAATATTAATGAATGTTATGTCTCTGCAGAATCTGTTTATGGGATCTGAAAAAGGTAAGATGAGTTTGTTGTTGTTTTGAATGGGAAAATTCTGCCGTTACTTTTAATATCATTTTACAAAGGAAAAGTTTATGTGATATGATTCTGATGGAGCTATTTCTTAGATTGTGGATAGACATAGAACTAAAATACATATTTAGAGCATGAATTAAAAAAATATCAAATCTCGGCACTTTGGGAGGCCGAGGTGGGTAGATCACCTGAGGTCAGGAGTTCGGTACCAGCCTGGCCAACATGGTGAAATCCCTTCTCTACTAAAAATACAAAAATTTGCTGGGTGTGGTGGCGCATGCCTGTAACCCCAGCTACTCAGGAGGCTGAAGCAGGAGAATCACTTGAACTTGGGAGGCAGAGGTTGCAGTGAGCCAAGATCGCACCATTACACTCCAGCCTGGGTGACAGGAGCGAAATTCTGTCTAAAAAAATAATAATAATACGGCCAGGCACGGTGGCTCACCCCTGTAATCCCAGCACTTTCGGAGGCCAAGGCAGGCAGATCGCCTGAGGTCAGGAGTTTGAGACCAGCCCGGCCCACATGGTGAAACCCCGTTTCTACTAAAAATACAAAAATTTGCTGGGCGTGGTGGCACATGCCTATAATCCCAGCTACTGAGGAGGCTGAGGCAGGATAATCTCTTGAACCTGGGAGGTAGACATTGCAGTGAGCCGAGATTGCACTCCAGCCTGGGCGACAAGAGTGAAATTCTGTATTAAAAACAAAAGTACGGCTTGGTGCGGTGGCTCATGCCTGTAATACCAGCACTTTGGGAGGCCAAGGCAGGCAGATCACTTGAGGTCAGGAGTTCAAGACCAGCCTGGCCAACATGGTGAAACTCCGTCTCTACTAAAAATTAAAAAAAAAAAAAAAAAAAAAAAAAATTAGCCAGGCGTGGTGACAGACGTCTGTAATCCCAGCTACTCGGGAGGCTGAGGCAGGAAAATCACTTGAATCTGGGAGGCGGAGGTTGTAGTGAGCTGAGATCACGCCATTGCATTCCATTCTGGGTGACAGAGCGAGACTCCGTCTCAAAAAAAAAAAAAAAAAAAAAAAAAATACCAAAGAGGTTACTAGGAGTAAAACATAAGCTTACTGTTTAAAATGACAGAGGAAATAGTCTCCCCCTCGTTGTGCCTCCCTCACCAACTGGGGGATTGCTTAAGAGAGCCTTTCCCTTGCCTTAAGTCTTTTCCCTTGTGCCGTAAGATATGTTGGTGAGGGGGCCACATGCTCAGTCTTATAGGCCACTGGTCCCTGAATGCAGTTCTCAGCTTCCTCTCCTAAGACACACAGTCAGAAGCTGTGGACCTGGGTATCTCAAACTGCCGTGTAGCAGGATTGCCTGAGGAACTTTTGTATGAATATAGACGTCTGGCCCCGACTTGCTCAATTAATCTTGTAGGATGGGACCGCAGAATTCCTATTTTGATGCTCCGAGGTGATTCTAGAGCAACTGACAGATCATGTTCTACTGGGTGCAGATGAGCACAACCGTGGTTCATTGCAGGTCTCTGATATGGCAGCTGCCACTCTTCCCACGGCTCTGCTAGATGAGACAGCACGTTAGAAATCAAGAGAGTGGGAGCAGCTTTGTTATGCACAGAATTTTTTTTTCTTTTTTTTTTTTGGTATGGAATCTTGCTCTGTCACCCATGGTGCAGTGCAACCTCCGCCTCCTGGGTTCAAGCAATTCTCCCATCTCAGCCTTCGGAGTCACTGGGCCTGTAGGTGTGCACCACCAAGTCCAGCTGATTTTTGTATTTTTAGTAGAGACGGAGTTTCACCATGTTGGCCAGCCTGGTCTCAAACTCTTGACCTCAAGTGGTCCACCCGCCTCGGCCTCCCAAATTGCTGGGATTACAGGTGTGAGCCACCACGCCCAGCTTGTTATGGACAGAATTTTGATCCCAGACCATAAAAGGTAAATCATACCAGCCTGTACCTACCAGTTTGTAAAGATCAAATAGAGTGGTGATACCAAGTGTCTTAGTCTGTTTAGTGGTACTGTAAAGGAGTACCAGAGGCTGGCTAATTTATAAGGAAGAGAGGTTTACTTGGCTTATGGTTCCACAGGCTATATTAGAAGCATGGTGCCAGCATCTGCTGTTGGTGAGGGCCTCAGGCTGCTTCCACTCATGGTGAAAGCAAATGAGAGCCGGTGTGTGCAGAGATTGCATGGCAAGAGAAGGCAGGAGAGAGAGGGAGAAGATGCCAGGCTTTTTTCAACAGCCAGTTCTCATGGGAACTAAGAATAAGAACTCATTACTGCAAGGATGGCACCAAGCCATTCATGAGGGATCCTCCCCTACAACCCAGATACCTCCCACCAGGCCCCACCTCCAACACTGGGGATCACATTTCAACATGAGACTTGGTATGAATATAGAGCAATAGAAACTCTCATATGCTGCTGGTGGGAATGTAAAATGGCACAACCACCTTGCAGAATACTTTTTCATTTTTTATTTAATTTGAAGACAGGTGCTAATGGTCCGGTTGTTTGTGCCCAACCACACTCTCCTGCCCCAATTCGTATGTTGAAATGCTAACCCTAAGAGATGGGCCCTTTTCAGAGGTGATTAGGTAATGAGGGTGGAACCCTCATGAATGGGATTAGTGCCCTATAAAAGAGGCCCAAGGGCGCTCCCTCACCCCTTCCGCCAAGTGAAAACACAGCAAGAAGGCATCATCTATGAACCGAACCGGAAAGCAGGCTGTCCCCAGACACCTAATCTGCTGGGACCTTGATCTTGGACCTCCCAGCCTTTAGGACTGCGAGAAATACATTGCTCTTATTTGTAAGCCACCCACTTGCTGGTATTTTGTTATAGTAGCTGAAAGGGTTTAAGACAGTGGGCCAACCCTTTGATCCAGCATTCCACTACTGGGGTATCCCCATATCAGGGGTTGGTAGACTGCATGCTGCAGGCCAAGTCTGGTCCACTGCCTGTTTTTTAAGTACAGTTTTACTGGAACACAGCCCTATCAATTTGTTTACATATTATCTATGCCTGCTGTTGTGCTACAACAGTAGAGTTGAGTAGTTGGAGCAGACACTTTGTGACTCTCAAAACCTAAAATATTTGTCAGGCTTACAAAAAGAGTTCTGCAGCTCGACCCTAAGTCCACATTTCTTTTTTTTTTTTTCTTTCTTTCTTTTTTTTTTCGTTTTTTGTTTTTTTTTGAGATGGAGGTTACAGTGAGCCAAGGTCGCATCACCGCACTCCAGCCTGGGCGACAGAGTAAGACCCTGTCTCAAAAAAAAAAAAAAAAAAAAAAAAAAGTACTAGAGCAGAGGCCCCTTTAAGATGGGAGATGGGGAAGGATTCTGAAATAGACAGCCACAGAGGGCAGCAGTCAGCTAGATGCATTGCCCTGCCTTGTGGTTGGCGTGTGGCCTGGGGGCCTTTCCTTCCTCCCTCCAGCAGTCCCTGCTGATGGCGAAATTGTGCTGACAGATGCAGGAAGGAGGCACAGCTAGTCCTGTTTGCTCGAAGAGAGGGCTTTGAAGCCCTAGTGTTTCCACCCTGGGTAGACAGTGAGATGGTTGTTTTGTTAGCAGAAGAGCACAATTCTACGCTGTGAGTAAGAGCCTAAGAGGGCCTTTTGTTCACAGAAAACAATGAAATGACGGATTTTTGGCATCCTTATCTGGACCGCCTTTCTTTAGGAATAAACAGATGATACAGAGCAAAGTTTGTAAATCTCAAATGCAGCAGTTAACCTCTTCGAGGCTGGCCCACTGGGCTCCCAGGGGCAGCTTCTAAGTGGGAAAAGTTTTGATGGAACTCTGGTTACATAAGGAAGTTGCTTTGAAAATCTGGGATAGTTTTCTGTAATGGAATCGTTCCCTAGTGTCTGTATTCACGATGAAGTGTAGAGTGAAAGATGCCTCCACTGGGGGTACTGGTGCAGGAGAAAAGCCACCTGTGTGACGTAAATTCATTCTGTTTAGGCAAAGCCGGGACTGCCACACTGGCAATGTCAGAGAAGGTTCGGACCCGGCTGGAGGAGCTGGATGACTTTGAGGAGGTGAGCAAGTCATCTGTGGAGCGCAGGGAGTGCGAGAGCTTTTCCTTCCTCCTGCCAAGTGAGATCAACCTCGGTGGCTGCTCTTTGATTAATTCCCGGGCTGCGCCTTGTGCTTAGTCCTCCCAAGGCAATGACTCCATCCAGGGAAGGATGCCAGCATGCAGTTGGCCGAGCTCACGGGTAGCCTGACTGGGGCTGCTTTTCTAGAGGCCTCTTTTCTCATCGTGATACCTGAGCAAGGCTGGGTCCCCTAGCGACAGTGTCTTATGGTAAAAACCAACTGCAAGGCCGGGCACGGTGGCTCACGCCTATAATCCCACCACTTTGGGAGGCTGAGGCGGGAGGATCACGGGAGGTCAGGAGTTCGAGACCAGCCTGGTCAACATGGTGAAACCCCGACTCTACTAAAAATATAAAAATCAGCTGGGCATGGTGGTGGCTGCCTGTAATCCCAGCTACTCGGGAGGATGAGGCAGGAGAATTGCTTAAACCTGGGAGGCGGAGGTTGCAGTGAGCTGAGATCACGCCACTGCATTCCAGCCTGGGGAAAAGAGCGAGACTTTGTCTAAAAAAAAAAAAAAACCTAACTGCAGTCACCTCCCTGAGAAGTAGCCTTATGGAGTACAAAGACTTTGCTTTGCAACTGACGCTGCTTGGGCTGGCTGGATATGGCCCACAGGAGTCTTTTAATTGGCCTACACGTACTTTGAAAAAAAAGTGAGTCTTTTGCCAGCACTTAAAGATTCATAAATGTAACCAACAAATACAGAATTTCTTGAAAAAACAATCTTGACTGGGCACGGTGGCTCACGCCTGTAATCCCAGCACTTTAGGAGACCGAGGCAGGATCTCCTGAGGTCCGGAGTTCGAGACCAGCCTGGCCAACATGGTGAAACCCCATCGCTACTAAAAACGCAAAAATTAGCTGGGCATGGTGGTAGGCGCCTGTAATCCCAGCTACTCGGGAGGCTGAAGTAGGAGAATTGCTCGAACCCAAGAGATGGAGGTTGCAGGTTGCTGTGTCACCCAGGCTGTAGTGCAGTGGTGTGATCTCAGCTCACTGCAACCTCTGCCTCCTAGGTTAAAGCAATTCTCTTGCCTCAACCTCCTGAGTAACTGGGATTACAGGCACGTACCACCGTGCCCAGCTACTTTTTGTATTTTTAGGTGAGAAAGGGTTCCACGATGTTGGCCAGGCTGATCTCGAACTCCTGACCTCAAGTGATCCATCCACCTCGGCCTCCCAATGTACTGGGATTACAGACATGAGCCACCATGCCCAGCCAACTCTTATTTCTTTAATAAAGAGTTTTTCATTTTGAATTGTAGGAAATGTACATATAAACATTTGGTTCCAGGTCTCATCATATGTGTTCACATGACCTTCACTCCTGTGAGTTGTGTGAAGAGCCTCTTAACAATAGCCCAGGGTTAAGGAGCATCTGCTGTGCGCCGGGGACCGTGCCAAGTCTTTACCTACATGGCCATTTCATCCCCGTGACGATCCCTTGCTCAGCTGCCAAGGGTTTTTGCTGTGCTTGTCTTTCTGTCCTGATTACTCTCTCCTTGGTCTAATTAACACCCCCACACTCTTCTGTACCTCTACTCCCCTTAGAGTTTGTCTCAAGTATCACTTCTCCAGGAAACCATTCCTGATCCCCCCGTCACAGTTTACAGTCCATTTCTTTGTTACCATATTTCTCCCAGTCTGAGATGTACCATTGCTCTCACGTTTGACTATCTCTGAAATTGGGGTATACGTTTCTCAGTTGCTTCCCATCAGTGATCAGCATATTTTTCTTCCTTAGTAGCCCATGAAACAGTTCAGCTTTTTTCCATGGGCACCTTAGATCCAGTGTATGTGTCCCTATAGAATTGTGTTTTCTCCTGAGCATTTATCTCAGTTTGAGTTAATATCCACCTGTCTTCAGTATCTTAAGCTCCATTAGTGCTGAAATACCCTGTCATGTCTTATTGCTTGGGAATCTTGAGCAAAAATGTCTTTGTTTCTCGAGCATCTAGTCCTGTGTCCTGCACACAGGAGACCCACAGTTGGTTGAATGAGGTAAGTCTTGTTACCTCAATTCACAGATGAGGCTCTGAGAGGAAAGTAGCTCACACAGGGTCACACAGCTACTCGGTGACTGAGCTGGGAGGTGGCTTAGGTCTGACTTGCTTCCAAGGCCAGCATGTCAACCCACAGCATCCTGTCCATCTTTGTCAGAAAACTCAAAAGAACCTCTTTGATTGCAAATTGCAAGGCAAAGCTGTCAATCCTTGTGGGGATATGAGGAAAATTTAGAGACCAAAACTCAGCCAATACCTGGTATTCTTTATAAGGGTGGTAGTCGAGCAATATTTTTCCTGCTGTGCCTTCACCTTCTGTCTTCTCCCCATAGGGTTCCCAAAAGGAGCTGTTGAATTTGACTCAGCAGGATTACGTGAACCGCATAGAGGAGCTCAACCAGTCGCTGAAGGATGCCTGGGCCTCAGACCAGAAAGTGAAGGCTCTAAAAATAGTCATCCAGGTTAGATCTAGTGATCCCCCCGCCCCCACCCAGAATTTCCTATGTAAAATTCCACTGTGGAGACTTAGAGTTTTCAGGGGCCTGCCTGCAGGGTCTTACCTTTGTTTTTTCATCCCTTTCCTTTTCATATACTTCCTGTGAAAAGCCATGATTATGAATCTGTGTTTTTTTGAGATGGCTAATCTCAGGGTCACATGTGCAACTGCACAGGTTGTGCACTGCACAACTCCAGGAAGCACTCTTCACTCTAGGTTACAGAATTGATGATACCCCATGTGTTGTGTAGTACATTAACCATGGTGCAACCCCTGACACATTTATGATTTGTACACACTAAAGATTGGGCAGCTTTCTGTTGGGATTCCTTGACTGCATTGGCTTGGTGTCTTTGGAATTAATGACGTGTGTCCCTAATAAATGAATATTTCAGACATATTACGCATGCTTATGTGACAAGGAGAAGAAGTTTACAGCACTGGTAGAGGTACATACATTGAATCTTCTTTGTTGATGAATTTGTTAAGCCAGTGACAATTCTTGAACCACAAGAACAAGTACTATGTGGAAAACAGCTTATATTTCTTGGTCCTAAAGATCTTGCTATCTCAGCAAAATGTGCTCAGAAGCACATTTGGAAAGGAATAATTCATTAAATTATCATTTTCAGAGCAAAGTCAACAAAGGACTTCTGAACTGCCATTTTAGTTCAAAAGGACAGATCCCATTCTCATTCCATGTTATGATAATGTGACATTTGTTTTCTCACCTGTTCTTTTGAAAGACAGGAGAGTCCAGGAGTCTTCACACTGGACACTTGAAGTCTTTTAAGATGACTCCTTGTATAGTAGGGGTGATTTCTTTGGTGTTTCATGATGGGAGGCAAGCCCACGCCCGTTCTCTTCAATCACTGTTGTTAGTTTACAGAGTAAATAGTCCCGAAGGCCAGGCCTCTCATCCTGGGAGCCCGTGGAGAGGGTTGCTTGCTGAGTGTCTCGAGTGAGAAACTATCTGAACTAGCAAGTGCTTCTTCACAATATTTGCATTGGCAGCATCTCTCCATAGATTATTGTAGTTTAGAACCGTGTCTTCTAAGAGGTTTACATCTGGGGGAGATTTGATTCGTGTCTTCACAAACAAAATCATCATAAGTGTGCTTCATCAACTCCACATCTGGCTAATAGTAACGATTCTATAATACATTAAGGACTGCCCTCTTTATCCGAAAGACAGAGTCAAGGCCGGGTGCAGTGGCTCACATCTGTAATTCCAGCATGTTGGGAGGCTGAGGTGGGTGGATCACTTGAGCCCACGAGTTTGAGACCAGCCTGGCCAACATGGTGAAACCCATCTCTACTAAAAATACAAAAATTAGCCAGGCTAATTTGCTGTACAGTAAACTTGTTCTCTGTGTGTGTGGGAGGGGTACCTGGTGGCTGCTTTACTAAGGCATATTTTACATATCATAAAGTCCACCTATTATAAGTGTATAATTCAGTGATTTTTTTTACTAAACGTATAGAATTGTGCAACTATCACACAATCTAGTTTTAAAACATTTTTATACCTCCCCAGATTCCCCCAAGCCTGTTTGTAATCAAATCCCACTACCATACCCAATCCCAGAAAACTAGAAGTCTGTTTTCTGGTTCTGTAAATCTGCCTTTCCTGGACATTTCATATACATGGGGTTATTCGTAGATAATCTTTTGGATCTGGCTTCTCTCACGTAGTATAATGTGCCTTTTTAATTGATATGTAGTAATTCTACATATTTATGGGGTACAAAGTGATATTTTGATACATGTATCCCGTGTGTAATGATCAAATCCAAGTAATTTAGCATATTCATCACCTCAAACGTCTCTAATTTCTTTGTGTTGGGAACATTCAAAATCTTCTCCTCTAGCTATTTGAAAATACACAATAAGCTGGGCCTGGTGGGACACACCTGTAATCCCAGTTACTTGGGAGGCTGAGGCACGAGAATTGCTTGAAAGTGGGAGGTGGAGGTTGCAGTGAGCCGAGATCGCACTATTGCACTCCAGCCTGGGTGACAGAGTGAGATTGTCTCAAAAAAAAAAAAAAAAGGAAAATACGCAATACATTTTGAACTGTAGCCACTCTAGGTGCTATTGAACGCTAGAACTTATTCCTCCTATGTAGCTGTAATTTTGTACCCATTAACCAACCTCTTTGTTCTCCCTTTGCCCTTACCCTTCCCAGCCTCTGCCTCTAGTCATCGCTGTTCTACTCTCTACTTCTATGAACTCAACTTTTATGGCTCCCATATGTGAGTGAGGACATGCAGTATTTATCTTTCTGTGCCTATTTCACTTAACTTGATGGTTTCCAGGCTCATTCGTGTTGCTGTGAATTACAGAATTTCATTTTTTTATGGCCAAATAATATTCCTGTGTGTGTACCATGTTTTCTTTATCCATTCATCCATTTATGTACATGTAGATTGATTTCATATCTTAGCTATTGTGAATAGCGCTGCAATAAACATGGTACTGCTGATAATTTCTTTGATACACTGATTTCTTTTTCTTTAGATGATAACCTAGTTGTGGGATTGCTACATCATATGGTAGTTCTATTGTTAGTTTTTTGAGAAATTTCCATACTGTTTTCTAGAATTGTTACACTAATTTACATTTCCACCCACAATGTATAACAGTTCCCTTTTCGGCTGGGCGTGGTGGCTCACGCCTGTAATCCCAGCACTTTGGGAGGCTGAGGCGGGTGGATCACCTGAGGTCAGGAGTTCGAGACCAGCCTGGCCAACATGGTGAAACCCCATCTCTACTAGGAATACAAAAATTAGCCAGGCATGGTGGCAAGTGCCTGTAATCCCAGCTACTTGGGAGGCTGAGGCAGGAGAATCACTTGAACCCAGGAGGCAGAGGTTGCAGTGAGCCAAGATTGCACCATTGCATTCCAGCATGGGCGACAAGAGCAAAACTCTGTCTCAAAAAAAAAAAAAAAAAAAGAGTTTTCTCTGTATTCTCATCTGCATTTTTTTTTTTTCTTAAGAGATGAGGTTGCCCAGGGTGGAGTGCAGTGGCTGCTCACAGGCGCGATCACACTGCATTACAGCCTAGAAATCCCAGACTCAGGTGATCCTCCCACCTCAGCCTCCCAAGTAGCTGGGACTATAGGCACATACCACCATGCCCAGCCTATTTTTGTCTTTTTGATAGTAGCCATTTTCATGTGGTTTTCATTTGATGATTCCCCTGATGATGAGTGATGCTGAGCATATTTTCACATACTTCTTGGCTAATTTGTGTATCATCTTTTGAGAAATGTCTCTTCAGCTCTTTTGGCCATTTTTTAATTGGATTATTTTCTTTAGCATAATATGTTTGAGGTTCATCCACATTGTATCACGTGTGGGTACTTTGTTCCTTTTCACTGCTGAATCGTATTCTAATGTGTGGTTATCTTAACAAGCTGATGGGTATTTGGGTTGTTGCCACTCTCTGGCTGTTATGAATAATGCTGCTGTATGTATTTGCATACAATTATTTGTGTGGACTTACGTTTTTATTACTCTTAGGTAAAATTTTAGGAATGGAATTGCTGGGTCATATGGTATGTTAGGATTAATTTGTTGAGAAACTGCCAAACTGTTTTCCAAATGGCTGCACCATTTATCTGAGGGTTCTAATTCCTCCACATTTTCTGACACTCGGCATTGTCCATCTTTTTTTCTGTTTTCTTTTTGTTTGTTTGTTTGAGACAGGGTCTCTGTCACCCAGGCTGGAGTGCAGTGGCGCGATCATAGCTCACTCTAGCCTCAAACTCTGGCCTCAAGCGATCCTCCCACCTCAGCCTCCTGAGTAGCTGGGACTACAATTGGCCACAACCATGCCCAGTTTATTTAAAAAATCTTGTTTGTAGAGACAGGGCCATGCTGTGTTGCTCAGTCTGGTCTTGAACTCCTGGCTTCAGGTGATCTTCCCATCTCAGCCTCCCAGAGCGCTGGGATTACAGGCCTGAGCCATCACACCTGGCCTATCACTTCTGTTATAACCATCCTACCATCCTGGTGGGTTTGAAATGGTACCTCATTGTGGTTTTACTTTGCATATCCCTAACAGTGATGTTGAACATCTTTGTACATGCTTATTAGCCATTTGTATATCTACAGTGAAATGTCTATTCAAGGCCTGTTCATTTAAACATTGTGTTATTTGGTTGAGTTGTAACAAATTTTTTTTCCTCAAGAGGCAGGGTCTTGCTCTGTGACTCCAGATGGAGTGCACTGTTGCCATCACAGCTCACTATAGCCTTGACCTCCTGGGTTCAAGTGGTCCTCCCACCTCAGCCTCCCCAGTAGCTGCCACAGCCAACTCATTTTTAAATTTTTTGTAGAAACGGAGGGTTTTACTTTGTTGTCCAGGCTGGTCTCAAACTCCTGTGCTCAAGCAATCCTTTCATCTTGGCCTTCTAAAGTGCTAGGATTACAGGCATGAGCCATGTACCTGGCCAGTTGTAACAATTCTTTATATGTTTTTGATACTATTTCTTTGTCAAGTATATGATCTCCTAGTCTGTGGCTTGTCTTTTTGTTTTCATAATTGTGTCTCTGAAGTGCCGTTTTTATGGACTGATTGATTGATTGATTGAGACAGAGTTTTGCTCTTGTTGCCCAGGCTGGAGGGCAGTGGCATGATCTCAGCTCACTGCAACCTCCGCTTCCTGTGTTCAAGTGATTCTCGTGCCTCAGCCTCCTGCGTAGCTGGGATTACAGGCACCTGCTACCATGCCCAGCTAATTTTTGTATTTTTAGTAGAGACGGGGTTTTGCCATATTGGCCAGGCTGGTCTCGAACTCCTGACCTCAAGTGATCTGCCCGCCTCGGCCTCCCAAAGTGCTGGGATTACAGATGTGAGCCACTGTGCTCGGTCAGAAGTTTTAACTTTTAGCTTCATTCATCAGTTTTCTCATTTTAGCTTATGCTTTTGTAATTGTATGTAAGAACTCTTTGCCTA